TTATGAAGACAAAAGGTGTAACATAATGGTTCATCAGTCAACATTTGATGTGAGCTGTTCTAGAAGTTTTGAAAATAATTTATGTACCTAAAAATTATATATAATCACCTGACCCATGCGAAAAGGAATTTTTTAATTTTATTTTTTATTTTTTAGTGAAATATATTGGATAAGTTTGGTTCATTATTATTATTTTTGTGTACACAAGTTTTATGCCAAATTATTTACAAACTTTTAGCATGATTTTCTTGGACAGTTATGTGTGTGTGTCTATATATATATATATATATATATATATATATATATAATGTAAAAATATTTTCAAAATATTATTTTATCTAATTAATATGCAACATGTATTCTATCTAATTATAGGTCAAATGTTGAATATGGTTAACTGAAAAAAGTCAAAATTAGACAAATACTCCAGGACAGAGGTAGTATTATTTTATCAAAAGAGTAAATAATACAATAGAAAAAGAAAATGCTCAAATTTTGACCATGCGAAAAGTGAATACTCTGGTAAAAAAATTATTTATTGAGAACGACATAATTAACGATGATATACAGTGAGACAGTTATTATCCGTAAAACACTGTCCATATCAAAATTGGTATCATTTGTGATGTTAGTGTAGCAAAGTCCAAATTAAAGTTCAAAAAAAAAAAAAAAGTGGAGATGGGTGTGAATTAAAGCAGGCATTGTTGTAATTACTTTTGACTAAACCAAGACTTATGCCAAAAAGCCCATTTCTCATGCACATGCCCAAAAAAAAAACTGCTAATCTACTCTCTCATATGTATATGATGCAAAGTGTAAAGAAAGGGCAAAAATGTCACGTCTCCAAGAATCCAATAATCTAAAGCACATTACTATTGATGTTACTCCTAACCAGTAGAAGTCAGTAGATATGCATCCATACATACTTACATACTGCAGTGGATGATGAATTTATGAATGATCCCCCCCCACCCCACCCCACCCCCCACCCAAAAAAAAAAAAATGAATCAGTAATAAGTTAAGCAGAGAAAGTAGTAAATGACTAGGAAACAAATGTAGGCTCAAATGAATGAGTGATGAATATTGAAGGAACCACGTGGACTCACACTTGTGCTTCCTTACCATGTGGATGGGGGTCTCACTTGCCAGTTGTGTCCCTCACTTTCAAAAAAGAAAAAGAGAGTTTGGGGTACGCGGGGGCGTAGCTCAGCTGGCTGAGAGGATAGCGCGACAGAGGATTGATTCAGTGGACGCGAGTTTAAATCCTGGATGGTCACTATGGCAAAAAAGAATGAATGTGCTAAATATTGAGTTTTTACATGTATCGAGGACAGGTCTCATTCACTCTCAATCAGACCCAGATTGTAGTTATGTTTGTTGGGATGTACTCCCGGTCCCACATCTAAAGAAAAGAGGGAGAGATGGACCAAAATGGCAAAATATATAGGTCTAACGCAATTTATTAGTATGAAGCCTTTTGTGAGGTAAGAGCTCAAAAATAAAGCCATGAGGATTGACACATAGCGAACAATATCATACTGATGCGGAGTTGGACTGAGTGCGCACGTGTGGCCCCACAATGTTGGAATCTTCCCAACCTATTGTCTGGGCCGGTGCCGAGCTAGGTACCCTAGGGCCTAGGCTTGCCCAAATTGGCAATCTAATGGGGAGCAGGGGTGGGGTTCATGAGTATTAGCAAGAGTAGAAACGATCAATTGTATCAATGGAACATCATAGATGCCTTAAAGTATCCAGATTATTCTGGATCATTTTTACCTCGTGTCAAAAGATCTGCACCAATAAAAATTACATGCATGATGAATCAATCTTTAGTTTGTGACAAATGTAAAGGGCAACTCACTGTCACATTTCTTTAACCTATAAAATACTCAAAATGTCACATTATTTCCCTCCCATGACAGTGCGGTGGGCCATTTATAAAATTTCTCCGGTCCAGTCTTATTATACTCTTATGCTAACATTTCTGCACTAATAAGTGAAAGTAAATAGCAAAGAAATTAAAATGGACTTAATATAGCTCTGCACCAAAGTTAAGTCCTCTTCCAAATTTACACCCAAGTAACACGCGTCAGAGAATGTTTTGTGCAATTAAGCAATTAATTAAATTGTAACTTTAATCCTTACAAATTAAGATTTCGAAGTATATATAGTTACAGAGATTGAATCGCGTGAACGAGAAATATTTTTTGATCTAATCATGGTATGGAGAGCAGGAAATGCACTTACCCTAGATTAAAGCTCAGTTTATCTTCTTTCAGACTACTGCCCAGATTATACATTGCCCTTTATTACAACTTAACTAACTTACCTCTGTTCAGACTATTGGTCACGTCGGTTTATGGTCTACTTATCTTAATGGACAAAACTAAAAGGTACAAAAATTATTGACATTATTGTCAAATTCAGGTACAGTGTGTGTAGGGTTGTTATAAGTGGGAGATGAGGAGACCAGCCAGCAAGCCAAATATATAAACAAAGATTAAGTTGCATGAAGACCATAAATACTAGTGGCATATAATATAACGTACGTCCTTTATATACATACAATTATGCATGCAAGCTGCTAATAGGTCATCATATATATCAACAAAAGGTATAGGGGCAGGACCACATCTATCTTCTCCAACCATGGTGATATATGCCAATGAATAAAAAGTGCCCCCAGAACTGACCGGACGGTCTAGCTAGTTGAAGAGAATAAATATAGAATTCGTCTGATATCTTTTCTCTCATTTTGACTCATTAGCGCGCTTTTTAGTCAAAGATGTAGAAAATATTTATCTTTTTATTTTTACCATTGGTGGTGCAGTAAATGGGAATTAAAAAAGATACATCGTATAAATTGGTGAATATCACAAAAAAAAGTATTTAGTTATAGGAAGTGAATATATAGTCATTTCATGTATGGAAAGAGAAAGAAAGATATAGGACAATCCGAAAAAGAAAACGAAGAAAAAGATATAAGACGGAGAGAGTAATTTTAGTCATAGTTTGAGGGATGAAGACTAGCTTAATGTACTTATAAAGACAACATGTTGAGCATAGCTTATTATCGCAAAACGGCATGCATTTGCCAGAAATCGAACAAGCAAGGTTTTACAATTTTTTTACATTCATGGTCAATATAAGTTCCTTTAAAAAAAAAAGACACAAATTAGAATGTGAATCTAGGAAGCTATATATGCTTAATATATAGGTGAAAGGAAGTAAGAGAATTCAATTGATCCAACAACAAAGGACACAGAGAATAGAACATTTTGCTCCCCATGAAGACCCAAAAATGATCCCCACACGTCTTTTCATCTGACTTACATATACCATACCACCCCCCATCCCACTTGTGGTGTGCCATTTCATGTCCTCACATTATATTGACTGCCCCCTCCCTACCTATATTGTTGCACGGAAATCAAACCAAGAAATAATAAATAATTACTCCAAAAGTGCTTACGAAACACAGACAACAATTGTTTATGTGAGATAGTTATTTGGATGGCCTCGATGATCCAAAAAGTGCGGGACTCTATTTTTTTAACCCAAAAGATGGCTCTAAACCACGTGTGAAAAACAGAAATCCAAAGTGAAATCGAATAGGAGATGACCCAGTTTAAGTAAAGGTAATATTGTGTGATATATCGAGAAATCAAATACTTCCAGTGTCATAAGAAAATGTTTTACATTTCCTTTTTTATTCAATTGAAACATTTCAACTCTCTATTATCTCTCTCATTTAAATAACTTTTAACTGCTTAATTTTCATTTATCTTCGCATTTGAATCTATTCGAACGTGGAACGCTTTTGCGGGGCTTTTAACCGCACAATTTCATTAAATGGGGAACATACATTTTCCAATCCAAACCCAAAGACCAAACCTCATATGACCAACATCCTTGCCAGTTATAATTGTCATTTTACAAAACTCCTAAAATTACCCTGAGTTGGGCCAAAATCCATACGAACACTTAAAAGGACCAACAAGACTTGTTATGGTTGAAAGGCCCACTATCGGAAATGGCCTCATGAAAGAGGCCCATGATAAGAACATCAAATGTTTTTAGATTTCAATTTTCGAATGACTAATTCACCTGCGCGAGTTACATTCTAGACGGTAGATGTTTTTTCAACCGGCGATTTAGGCATAGGAAGCAAAATTGGGAGATGCTAGGGGTACACTAAAAGTGTACCCCAAATGTACATCATACGCCTTTTTACCATTCATTTTATTTTATTTTTAATTTTTTTTTTTTTAAATTTACATGCCTTTTTTTGTAGTGATGGAGGGGGTGTGGGATATTTGAGGTACACTTTTGGTGTACTCCCTAGCATTTTCCAGCAAAATTAGAGTTGCGATTGACCAAGATTGCCATCGATTTTGCTTCGCGGACGACTCGCAAAGCGAGTGGCTCGCCCTTTGGCGCGTGAGGTAGCCACATGCCTCTCTTCTTCCACGCCGATGCACTCTGAAGCTCTCCAATCATGGCACGGCAAGGCATACTTTGTCTTCACCGCTACTTGTGCTCTTAATGTATTATGTCGAGTAATTAGCATTATAAATACTAAGCGAAACGTTGACACACAAAGCGAAACGAACAATTAAATAGAAATGGAGGGAGTATTAAGCAAGACTGATTACAACGGGAGAAAGACCAAAGTAGCACTAAAACATTGAAAATATACCAAAATAGAACTTCCATGTTTTTATTCCCGAAATAGGACTTACATTACCATACATGGTCATATACATTACCAAAAAAGTATAGTAATTTACACATGTAAACTGCCACATTACAATAGGGCAAAGTCACATTACCACAATGCAAAGTCCTATTTCGAAAAAAAAAACATGAAAACCTTATTTTGGTACTTTTATCTATGTTTTAGTCTTATTTAGGGTGATTTTTAAATTACAAATCGTTTCTGCTTCCAAGAGTACTTTTGGAAAGTTAATACCAAAAGACATTCTTTTTTTCGTGAAAATCAAAGAACCAATTTTCATTAAAAAGAAACTAAATACTTCCTCTGATCCTAAATATTTGTCACACTTGTATTTTTTTTTTTGAAACGAAATGCACATCTTCATTCATCTCCCAAAACAATACAAACGACCCCACTTTAACACAAAAACAACATACAATTGACAAACATCAACACCTACTTACTCCTTGATTTCCTTCCCCAGAAAGTACTCAAATGGCTTGTTATATGGTTAAAACACATCTTTACATCAGGCTTCTCTTTCCTATGGAAAAGGCAATTCCTTGTTTTCCATATATGGTAGCACGCTGCTGCATAGGTACTTATGCCTCGATCTCTTCTTCCTCTTCCTCTTATACTCATCAGTGCATCCCTAACCTCTTGAACATTGTTTCCTTCCATCTTTATTCCCACCCAGACAGTTAGCCTCTTAATTAGGGTACTAGAAAAAGTACAGGTACAGAACAAATGGTCAGCATATTCATCCCTTTCATTGCACAGTCCACAGATCTTGTCAATGGGAATATATTTCCCCAACCTATCTTTTGTGTTTACTCTTCCTTTACATATAAGCCAGGAGAAAAACTGATGTTTAGGGCATGACATTTTGTGTCACTTTCGAGGTAAAATATCAAGTTTTTTCAATTCATTTTATTTACATATTGGTATAGAAATAAAAAATAAAATTTTACATATCAAAAAATTGCATGAAAAGTTCTTCGAAATAAGAGGTGTCAAGAGCCATTTACTTATTATAATTGTTATTGTTGTTGTTAACACAATAACAACAATAAAAAGAGTAGGTCAAGAGTAGAAGTGAAGGTACTACTTATCAAAAAAGATTAGCAGTGAGCCAAGGGTAGTAGTGAAGGTACTGGAGACTAGGGGTGTAAACGAACCGAATCGAAGCGAATACCGATATATTTGAATTTGTATTTGTTTAATTTTTTCGAATACGAATCCGAATATGAGACGAATTTAAAATAAGATTTGAATAAGTATTTGATTAATATTCGAATAGTTATCGAATCATAAATGAATATTTGAATAATCATACTATGTAATTTATATGATGGACCAACATCAATTTATAATTTAACTTACGATACTCTTTAAACTATACTATATTCCGTATATAAAAATATTAATACATTTGCATCTTACACAAATTATATTTTATAAAATATAACTATTAAAAATTATATGCTTTAGATTTTCGTGTTACGTTAATTTATTGAATTCTTAGTATTTTAAATACACTTTATACTATATTACTTTGCTTGACTTTTGATGTTGAAAACATGGTCTGTGTATATATACATATATTCGAATACTCGAATATCATCCGAATCGAATATATCTCTATTTGTATTTGTATTTGATTAATTCTGAATCAAAAATAATATTTGAATTTGAATTTATATTTGAATAACACGAATTCGAATCATCATATTCGAATACAAATCGCGAATCGAATTTAAAATATTTGATTTGTTTACATTCCTACTGGAGACTTCAATCTATGGTGGGGCTCTTAGAAGTCTTTTCTCTATATTTCACTCGGTAACTTTTTTAACATTTACTCCGTATTAAACATTCTATTTAAATGATATTCTTTAAAATAATTGTAAATAATCTATAAAATAATATTTATAGTTGTTAGTATTATATTGTCATCTTATAAAATATAAAATATTTTTTTTATAATTAATATATTTTTATTTAGAAAATGGACCAATTTAAGAAAACATCATGTCTGAGAGTACCATTTTGGAAAATGAGCATAAGGCTTAACGCCGTTTTAACGGCCATTAGTCAGGAGGACTAAACCGAGCATTATTCTTAATTAACGAGTGTCATCTCAGGACGAAAGATTAACAACCCTATATGAAGGGGATCTGCATTACATGCTCAATTCAAGGAATCCAAGTTACATATTCCCTCAGTTTTTAGAAAGAATCTCACATTTTACCCATTCAAAAACCATAGGAATATAGAGTGTGACATTCTTTCGCTTCATTTTGCATAATATGACAATTTTTTTGATACAGAGGTATTAAAAAAATGCGAAACCTCAAATTTAGCGAAATTTAGAGTGTGGCAATCTATCGCTTCGTTTTGCATAATATGGTCATTTTTTATGGACTTTGTGCGAATTCGGGAACCCAAATTTATCCCTTTGACACAACCTCTCGACCATCTGAACTACGCCACTTGAAATCATAAATCAGTTCAATGGCAATGAAAATTTGCAGAAAGAAAAAATAAAGCTTACAGTTTAGTGGCAATGGGAATCCTTTCATGAATGAACGACATTAAATTCCCATAATTGAATATCTGAAACGAGAAAATTCCTTCCAGAACGCCCAAGCAAGCTCCGGCGACCACGTCGAGCACGAAATGGCGGCCGAGAAGAACCCTAGAACCCGATGTGATCACTGCCCAGGCCCCGACAATGTGAACGAATTGACCCGAATACGAGCCGTACCCGGCTTCAATCAGCGATCTCTGTACCAGATCGGACGATAGGTAGAACATGGTGGCGATGAAGAAGACTCTGGAGGAATGCCCGCTCGGAAACGACCAGTGGTCGACGGAGAAGGAGAGGAACATGTTCTGGTTGTAAACGGGCCGGGGCCGCCGGATGAGGTGCTTGAGGAGGCCGATTAGAGCTAGATCGAGGACGGCAGCGAGGAGGAGGTCGATGAGGAAGACGGTGGCGGCGGTCGTCGTGAGGAGGAGGGAGACTACGACTGGGAAGAATAGACGGCCGTCGCCGGAGATTTCCAGTGATTTGAGGAGAGAGTAGGGGAGGATTGGGTGGGCTATAGTGTAGAGACGGAGGGAGAGCTCGGTGTCGAAGTCTATTAGACGGCGGAGCAGCTGTGACGGCGGCGGTGCTTCAGATTCCATTATCTCTTCCGCTTGCCGTCGAGAAATGGTGAAGAACCCGCCGCGACTCTGCAGACGTCAATTGAGTGACCCGAGAGATGAGAAGCCCAATACCGATAGCATTGGGGCGCGCAAGCCCAACACTCATAGATCTATTTTTTTTAGTGTAAATTCCATAAAAGGTCCCCAGTTATAGGTCGTTTTACATATTTATTTCCTACATATCAAATATTACTAATTTAGTCCCCAATTATTATATTTATTTCCACGAATGGTCCTTTGTTAACATTTGCGTTAAAAACGTGGACAAAATTGTTTATTCAAACTTCTCTCTCTCCTCAATTAAGCTTCCTCCATCTTTTCATACTCTTTCTCAAACTCGTCGTTGAGTTTGAAGCTCTTAAACCCAAAACTTAAATGATCGTTCCTCCATTTTACACAAACAATTGAGAGAAGAGTGATGATTTTGGTTTATGGTTCAAAGCTAGAAACTCAGCGGCGAGTTTGGGAAAGGAGTGCAAGAGAAGAAGAAGCTTAATTGAGGAGAGAAAGGAGTGTGAATTTGAAATTTTATCCACGTTCTTAACGAAAATGTTAACAAAAGACCATTCGTGGAAATGAATATAATAATTAGGGACTAAACTAGTAATATTTGATATGTAGGGACTAAATATGTAAAACGATCTATAACTGGGGACCTTTTATGGAATTTACTCTTTTTTTTATTCTAATTCTTTTTAAAAAAACTTATACTTCGTACAAAAAAGGAGATAATTAATAATATATAATATTATCAAATATTAACTCCGTCCAAAATTAATTCTCTTTATTTTTCTTTAGGGCTATTCCAAATTAATCTTCCAATTTTCCTTTTTTAAGAAGTTTTTTGTGTCACGGTTGTTCCTCTCTCAACTGTATCACTTTCAACCACCTAATTTTAATTTTCTTAAATTTTGTACAAAGTCAAATTATAAGTATTAATTTGGAACAAAAAGAATAATTTAAAAAATATGTATTCCATATACAAACAAAGTTGTTGGAGCCAGAATAGTAACAAACTAATAGGTACGGAGTAATTAATATAGAGACGAAAAAAATATAATAACATAAGAACAATGCTAGAGATACACTAGAATGAGATATTCCATTTGTTTTTCAAACATTAACACACATTAAAACACCAAGTATTTAAAAAAATTAATGGCTCTTAAATTCTTTTTTTTACATGCTTTCAACCACAAAATTTTATCTTTTTTAATCTATGTATCAAGTCATAGATTAAACATTTTTCCAATAGCCCAAGCTTATCAAATATGGAGTATAAAATATTTGAGCAATGCTAGGGGTACACCAAAAGGTGTACCCCAAATGTACACCACCCCCTTCTCCACCGCACATTTTTATTTGATTTTTATTTACTTATTTTTTTTAATTTTTTTTTCTTTTTTAGTGGACAATGAGGGGGTGGGGGGACATATGGGATACACTTTTGGTGTACCCCTAGCATTTTTCAAAATATTTACAGCCATCTAAACTTTACTCTAGGCCCAATTGGATCAGGTAGAAATGGGGTTTTATTTGCAATAGATCATTGGACTCTTTGGCATTGAGCGGCCTATTATGGGCTCAATCCAGTAGAGAGTTCATTCATATTGAGGGTGTTTGATTTATTTCTTTATTTTTGACAATTTTATTTTAAACACATTTAAAAAAAATCGGAGTTTTTTCATTGCTTTTACTTTTCTGTAGCTTTCAATTTTTAGTGTTGCATGTTAACTTAAAATGTGATCATTTAATAATATTTTTTAAAACATTGAAGCTAAACATTAAAAATGTTATGGGAGAAGCAAAATGCTAGAATGAAACAATAAAGAAGAGTGCTAGGTTCACAAACAAATTGGTCACAAAATTCACAAACTTCCTATTCCCTCCGTCCCGGAGTATTCGTCCAGTTTTGACTTTTGGAACTGTTCATCTAAGCACTTTGATTCATCAAATTCTCCTAATGTGTAAGCCTAAATATAGTCATGTGTGATCTGATTTGATTTGTCTTAACATATAGATTATTAATATATAATTTCTATAATTTTTTAATATACAAATTACAAGATAAAATGAATTAAAAATGTGCATTGGATGGTGTGCAAAAATGAAAGTGGACACACATAGCATTGCTCAACAATAAAACCGGTGCAAGACACGCACTTGCTCCGAATTGGTAACCAACATTTAATTTTAGCATTTGTATATGTAATCTATATCTGTATTACTCACACTAATACTCTATGGAAAGTAATGTTCCTAAAAGAGGTATAGAACTTGAAATAATATGGTACGTCTCATTATAATATTGTTAGAGTATAAAAACCTTCATCAACTTTAAACAAAAAGCTTATTTTTTATTATTAAAATGATCATTTGACAAAATTTCACCTAACTTACAAGTCACGAGTTCAAACTTCACTATCATCTCTTTTTTAAAAGAAAATAATATTCACGTGTAAAATTTTAACATAATGACCTCGTGTCCTCGTCTATTATTTGAAGGGCATGTTAGAGTATATAATCAATCATGAGCTTTCAACTAAAGAATTGAGCTTATGATTCACTTGAGTCGTTAACAAAGATAAAATGTAAATGAATTCTGTAATACATTCTTTTTGAAATCAAAATAAAATTAACCCTGTAAAATAAGGTGTTTACACAAATAAGGCCATGAACAAATAGCCTTCTAATTACATTACGAACTCTCCTCCTCCTCTTGCATCGCAAACCAAAGTTTCTGGACGGCCGGCGTCTTTCATGTCTCGATAAGAACGTACAATGGCTTTCCCTGCAACCGTTCTCGGCCCTAAACCACCAAACACCAAAATCCTCATTATGATCAGAGCCAAAAAAAAATTCCAAAAGACCGGCGGGGTCTTATGAATAATAAAATGCATTGTTTGATGAGCGTAGAAGATATGAGTTCTGACACTTCAGAATATTAAAATCTTTTTGGTGCCAAAGATCTTATGGTCCAAGAGAATCTCATAAACACAAGGGTCATTTGAAAAATCACCAAGAAAGAAAAGCATGTGCCATGCAAGGACTAAAATGGGAAAAAAAGACACACCTTTAGGACTGGAATTTCAATGACACATGCACACTCAATCACCTCAGCACCAGCACGTTCTGTACAAATTGTAGTCTCAAGTCAAACTTTCACCATGTGAGCCAAAAACAAATAAATACTTCGTAAGTCACAAAAAAAGGAACAAAACTTTGATCTAAAAGTCACGAGTTCAAATATTAATGCCAACACCCAACCACAATATTGACTTTCCGGTTGACTTGGTTCATTGACAGTAGTCCTGCAAAGAAAATGACAGAAAAAAAATACCCAATAAATTCATAGCTGCGCAAAGAGTGCCGCCGGTGGCAACCAGGTCATCAACCACCAGCGCGCGGTCTGCGGGCCCCACCGCTCCGACGTGCATCTCGAGACAATCGCGTCCGTACTCTAGCTCATACTCTTGTCGGATAACCTCCCCTGCGGTCGAGTCAAGTTCGGTACTTTTCAATTCAGTTCAATATTTTTTTAGTCAGGGTTAGAATATATAGAATCCCATTATATTGGTACCTGGGAGTTTCTTTGGTTTGCGCAATGGAACAAATTTTGCCCCTATAGCCAAAGCAATTGGTGGACCAAATATAAAGCCTCTGGCTTCAATTCCTATAGTAACAAATCAATCAAGAAATTAGGAATGATATTATTGGTAACTTTAAGTTCTTTAACTGCACAGTCAAAGTTTGTGACAGTAATTAAGAAGTAACAAGAAAGTTTAATGTTGAAGTTTTTAAGTATCAACTGTCAAGTAGGGATTAGAGTCATTAAACAGAGAAAAGAATCATTTTTAGTGTTAATTACTATCACCTAATCAAGAATTTACAAAAAAACATAATACACCACTTGACATTTTGACATAGTAAAGCACAGCTTTTTTTTTCTTTTTTTGAAGTTACAAAAAAAAAGAGCACATCACAAAAGAACCAAAATAAATAATTTGCCAGTGAAAAGGACAAAGAAGATGCTGATTCTATTGGATTCTGTCCTCTGTATATCCCAGAAAATAATTGATCATTATTAAAATCAGTCCCAGAAAATAATTGATCATTATTAAAATCAGTCCATGATTCCAGGAACCCGATGCCACAAATACTACCAAAAACATGAAATTCAAAGTTCAAACAGATCTTTTTAAAGAAAAGAATAAAAGTGCTTTTTTCCATGATCACCCAAGAAAAATGAAGACACTGGATTTAAAAAAAAGTGCATTTTTACCATTATCACCCAAGAAAATTAAAGACACTAGATTTGGAAAACAATTAAAGTGATTTTTTTCAGATAAATGAAGACTCAAGATTTAGAAAATAATAAAAGTGCCTTTTTTGCCATGTTGGTTAAAGATAAATGAAGACACTATATTTAAGGTGTTAAAAATGCATTTTTTTCCATGATCATCCAAGAAAAATGAAGACACTAGATTTTGAAAAAACAATTAAAGTGCATTTTTTCCATGATCATCCAAGAAAAGTAAAGACACAAGATTTTAAAAAAACAATAAATGCGCATTTTTTTCAATGATCATCCAAGAAAAATGGAGACAATAGATTTTGAAAAAACAATAAAAGCACATTTTTTCCATGATCATCCAAGAAAAGTAAAGACATTAGTTTTTAAAAGAAACAATAAATGCGCATTTTTTCCATGATCATCCAAGAAAATTGAGGACACTAGATTCTAAAAAACAATAATAGTGCTCCTTGTAGACACTGGTCTTCTACCTAAATGCAACTGAGTCATTATGATTAAAACTTCTACTAACCTATTGGGGAGAGGTGTGGGGCCTCCTTTTAAGAAAAAGATGAACCTCGGCCTTAGGATCTCCGTGTATCTAGGAGATGGTATATTTAGATATAATCTTAGTTTGACAAATCAAGAACAAAATATGTCCTAATACGTACAATGACTCCATGTTATACATGATCGATTTTCATCGTCGTTGGATTTAGTCGAACTACATCATTACCCCTTTTTTTAACCTTTCCTTTCTTTGCCATCTAAGCTTCCTTTTTTGAGGGAGGGTAGAACCAATCAAACAAAACATATGGAGAAGAAAGGGAATAGAAAAGATCAGCCCCTACATCTAGTGGGCCTCTGGCTAATATTAGCAACCTATCATCCATCAATCACTAACTACCACCACCTCCAAAACCAAATATGCCCCCCCCCACACCCCCACCCACACACAAATAATTTGAATAGTAAGCACACACTAGGAAATTAATGATAAACATGATATTAAAAACAACAAAAAACACAATATAATTTCATTAGAGTAGAGTCTGAGGAGGGTGTGTACAGAAAGCACAGAGCACAACAAAGGAAGAACATAACAAGGTTAGGGTAAAGAAAGAAAAACGCAAAGAAGCAAAAAGCACCACACAAAGAAGCACATTAAGACAAGTGAGAAAAAGCTTACCCAATGTGACAAAGATTGAAATTTTTTAAACCTCCTTCATTATTAACCTTGGTGGTGTGGAGAAGGGGGGAAAGTGACATTTACCTGCGACAATGGTGATGTTTTTGCCTTTGTAGCGTTCGACAAACAAATCAATGGCATCCTTAAAGGCCTTGGGATCAAGCAACAGTGTAGTGATGTCCTGGAACATTATTCCTGCAAACAAAAAAAGTCCAACCCATCACTTAAAATCGAAAAATTGAGCAAATCCCACAATCACCTACACTGGGAAAGGAGGAAATAATCTGAAACTGTTCATCAAATTTGGTAAAGATTTGATCTTTTTTCAAGAAGATGAGAACAGAAAGGCCAAACTGCCAAAGGCCCATTGGGGAACATATAAATGTTGGTTGAAAGATCGAGTTACCAGGTTTGGGGAAGTCAGGGACAACGCGGATACTGGATTGGATGCCATGGATGCGTGGGTCGCCCGCCCTGCAAGCTGACATTGCAGAGATAGCGATGGGGAGAGATAGAGACTTTGGAGGATGAATGGGAGGGTGGAAGAAGAGAGGAAGGAGGGGTATTTATAGAACTGTACACACATTTGAGATTCGAGTGTACAAATTTTTCAATGGCAGTGGAGAGGCGTAGGGGAGAGGTCCGACCTTACCTTGACATTTGGGGGCTACTTGTGGATGGGATGGGTAAAAAATGGAGTAAGAAAAAAGAAAAACAAGGCTGGGAGAGGGCAAGTTTGCAATTTTACATGAAGTCTTGAACTTCTTTGGTTTTTTAGTGAACTTTAATGGAACAACTTACTACCTTAGGAGTTTGAATTAAAAAAAAAAAAGAAAACTACTAGTTAATTTTTTTAAGTCGATTCGGGTCAAGTGTTCTCATTGAAAACATATAGTGGATCTGCTTGCGATTAGAATGTTGTCTCAAGACACAATAACAAGCATTAAATTTTTGAGCCACATTATAAACATTTGAAAAGATAAAGAGGTGTGTGTTTTTGGAAAGCAAATTGATTTTATGCATGGCTCATTGACCACATAGGTCATTAATCTTATGCGAAGGTTGATGGTTTAGCTTCACGAAAAATCGTTAATTTAAACTAATGTACGTTTTTTGGTATCTATAGAAAAGTAAAGTATGTTTACACAAATTGAAATCGAAATCAGTGTTACTTGTAACGTGTTTGTATAATTATTTTTAACATTTTAGTGGTAACCTTATTTTTAATTGTGCAATAGTGTGTTTTCTATTATTCTTTGTCTTTTCTTGACCATTGTAAAAAGTTGAATGGTAAAAAAATTAAGCAAATAAAATGGGACAAAATATCAAACAAATTCTTTTAAATAAAATATAGAAATATTAAAAGATACGGAGTATTTAAAATAATATAACAAAAATATGAAATATAAATATGTAAAAAAGAAATATTGATTTTTATTTTAAAAAATACTCCTTCTATTCAAAATTAAATTGTCTGTTTACTATTCACATGGTCAAACTAGATTCATTTTTCTTTATACTTATAAGTGTGGATGTTTCTCTATACTTATAAGCTGGTCAAAATTGCTTATAAGTTGTATTCCACTTATAAGTCAGTAGATGACTTGTTTTTTGTGCTTATAAATCAACTTGTAAATTGCTTATAAGTCAGAAAAAATAAATAGGTCTTACTTATTTAGAAGGTGTTTGAGAGTGATTAACTTGTGAGTAAAATAATTTTTACAAAAGCTAAAGGCAGAAGTACCATATATCTGCTTCTCTGAAATGATGTTCAATGTACAAAATAATGGTGAAGAAAAACATAAGTTGGTGTGCCAAACATTACAAAATGATTAGCACTTAAAGGAGAAGCTAAACTTTGAAAAGCACCGCGGTGCCAAACACCCTCTTTTTGTTAAGCTGATTTTTTCGTTTCTCTATCTTGATCAGATAATTTACAAAACTATCTCTCATCTATTATGAATATTCTCAAATGACTTATATTTAATTTAGGTCATTTTATCTATAGATTTTCTTTTTACTTACAAGAAGCTTATAAATTAAAAAATGCTTATAAATAATACGTCAATCTGATTCTCTTTTTCCTTACTCCCTCCGTCCCACAAAAAAGTTTCCATTTTGAATAGTATTTAGTTAAATATTTACACGTTTTGACTATAAATTGCGAGAAAGGTATATTGAATTATAAAATAAATTTAATATAATTGGATTCATCTTAGGATCTAATTTTGATATCTCAAATTTTTTTAGCATTTCTTTATTTAGATTATATTTAATTTATGGTCAAAGCGTGTAACTGTTTGATTAATTTATGTCCAAAATGGGAACTTTTTTGTGGGACGGAGGGAGTATAATAATACTTTAAAAGTGACAAAAAAAATTTGGGCAATACTAGGGGTACACCAACATGGGGTACCCCAAGTGTACACCAAGCCAACACAGACACACACAAACAAAAAGTGTCTGTGTTGCACAGACACTTTGTGTCTGTGTGTATCTGTGTGTATCTGTGTGCTTGGTGTACACTTGAGGTACCCCATGTTGGTGTACCCCTAGCTTAATTCAAAAAAATTCTTTCCTACCAGGTAGAGAACCTAGAGCTTATTCTCTTTTTCTTTCCAAAAAATGGGGGAAATTTAAATGGCATAAAACAAAGCGCTAATAAAAGAAGTATTCATCGGAGATCACTCGTGGGTTTTGACACGGGATCCAGGAAGGCAAGATATTCGAAAGGTTGCGGATCTTATTAAAGATGGAGTTTGGGACTGGCAAACTATTGATTCCGTTTTCGAAGTTCGGGACCGTCGACTTATTCAAGCTATTCCTCTCTCACACTCTGCCCAAGTTGACAAGCTCATTTGGGCTAGGGACAAGTCAGGTCTGTATTCGGTTAAGAGTGCATATCGTATGCTAACATGGGATGAGAGTGTGGTCAATGACAGCAGCTCGAAATCAGTGTGGAGGAAACTCTGACAAGTCCACACCACACCTACTATTCGTAATCTCATCTGGCGGGCTGCAAATAACATAATGCCGGTGCTAGATAATCTTGCACGTAAAGGGATGCCGATTCAAAATATATGCCCGTTGTGCCAATGCTCCGAGGAGACGGTGTTGCATCTCTTTGTTTCTTGCAGCTTTGCACGACAGGTGTGGACAACCTCTATCTTGGGCTGGTACACGCCCCATGTCAACGGTTTCATCGCTTGGCTAGAAAAGATTTTCAACCTCTTCAACCAGAGGGATCAAGCATTAGTGTTTCACATATTGTGCTCAATTTGGAAGACCCGAAATGACAGAGTTTGGCGGGGTAAAAATTCGACCCCTATAGGTACGTGGCTAAAAGCTAAAGCTCATTTTGAGGAGTGGTGGTCGTTAGCTTCGCCAATGGCAAGAACGCCAGTGGGGGTCACAAGAAGTTCATGGTCAAGACCACGTGATGGATTTGTGAAGGTTAATATTGATGCATCTACAGGCTTGGTTGACGATATGATGGGAGTGGGTTTCATCGCTCGCAATGACCTTGGAGTTTTTTTGGCGGCTAAAAATAAATCTTTTAGGGGCAGCTACGGTCCCAGGGAGGCAGAGGCGGTGGCAGTTAAAGAGGCCCTTAGTTGGATCAAATCAAAAGGTTGGATGCAGGTAGAGATCGAAAAACTCTTCTGATGATTGGTCTTATTTCTCTTCGATTATTACTGATTGTAAATCCCTATTGGCTTCGTGCGATGAGATTTTTCATTTTCACTATGTATATCGCTCTGCTAATGAGGCGGGCATATACTAGCGCGAGCTTCTCATTCACCTCAAAGCAGGGGAGAATGAAACATTTCTCCCCCTTACTTCATCATTTCATTAATATAATCTTTTTCCCTTTGCTTCAAAAAAAAATTAAAGAAGTATTCATGAAGAGGGAGCTGGATTCACTTGGTGTTATCGTTGAGATTTGAAGTCTGGGAGCCGTCGATGTTCTCGTCGTCCCAATTCACGGTAAACGTCTCTGCTTGCGCAGCAAATATGAAGCATTTCCCTCCGGTCACTTCAAAGAGCGTCGCCGTCATCGGCGCCGGAGCTGCCGGGCTAGTGGCCGCCAGGGAGCTCCGGCGGGAGGGCCACGGCGTCGTGGTGTTTGAGCGTGAAAACCAGATCGGCGGCACCTGGGTGTACTCCCCGACCGTCGAGTCCGATCCGCTGGGAATTGACCCCCGCAGGGAAGTCGTTCAGTCGAGCCTCTATGCCTCCCTTCGGACCAACCTCCCCCGGGAAGTAATGGGGTTCCTGGACTACCCGTTCGCAAACCCTAGAAAACCCAATCGAGACCCGAGGCGATTTCCGGGTCATGGGGAAGTTCTGGAATACTTGAAGGACTTCGCCTGCGAATTCCGGCTTACTGAACTAGTCCGGTTTGCAACAGAGGTTAGGTTTGTGGGTTTGGCTGACGAAGGGAAGTGGGAAATTAGGTCATTTGGGAGAGATCATGGCGGAGATGCGCTTGTGAATGAGGTGTATGATGCTGTTGTGGTCTGCAATGGCCACTTTACTGAACCCAGGATTGCTGAAGTTCCAGGTATTTTTCTGCTTAATTAATTTCCCCCATTTAAGGCAAATAATGTCAAATTACTGGAAAATGCTTATTGTAATCAAACATATTTTTTCTTATATTAATGCTAGCCATGTAGCCATCTGGGCATTTGGAATCTTTTTATCAAGAATACTCTGTATTATAGGGATGAATGTTTGGCCAGGCAACCAAATTCACAGCCATAATTACCGAATCCCTGACGATTTCAAAGATCAAGTATGCATTTTGTTTTTTTATTATCTTTTTAGAGGGGCTTATAGATAGTAGAAGTAGCAGCAGCAGTGTAGTAGTATCAAACTTAATTTTGTGGATTTGCAAGTGTGTTATAGGTTGTAGTGGTGATAGGCAGCTCAGCTAGTGCTGAAGATATCTCCAGAGAAATAGCTAGAGTTGCTACAGAGGTCCATATTGCATCGCGATCATTTCAAAAAAACAAAAGCTCGGAAAAGTTGTCTGGGTATGAAAATGTTTGGCGACACCCCATGGTAAAGTTACTTTTTAATAGATTATTAAAGTAAACCAGGAGAAACTGTCAAGATGTTTTTGTGCCGAATAAACTGAGGTATGGATTAAAACTTGCAGATAGAAGCTCTTGGCTCTGATGGTCGAGTGAATTTTCAGGATGGAATTGTAATTTGTGCTGATGCTATCATACATTGCACCGGGTGAGTCATTGTTTATTAAGCTCATAAAGTAGGGTCAGATCTTCTCTTTGGGTTTTATTGTTTTTACTTTCTTAAAAAAACTGATGAACTCAAGTAGTAGGCAACAAACAAAATATGGGAGAAGTGCCTAAATAGGAGTAAAAGATGATGAAAATGCCAAAACAGGACTCTTTTGTTACCTGAATATGAGTTCACGTTGTCCCTCTCACACTGCATACTGCCACACCACATGGCCACCAGAGTGCCATCGCGGGTCACTGGAGCTCTGCTGCCGTTGCCAATGTTGACCATCGTTGACCGGTGAACCACCATCACACTGCCACTATTGACACTGCTATATTGTCATCACAGTTTCAAACTCTTATTTAGAGGATAAAAATTATACAGCTCTTATTTTGGTATTTTGATTGCATTTTACTCCTATCTAGTTACATTTCTTATGAAATATATACATGTTAGCCTAGCATCACCTATAGATTCTATTATTCCAAGGATGCATACCTGTCGACCGAATGAGAGAAATAAAGTCATGAGGCTTTGACAGTTTGACCTGTGCATCGTTGTAGGTGATTGAGGTGAGTGGTAAGGTGTTAAGCCGTAATCGTGTTGCTTAAACAATTTTACAATCTGGCACATGAATTGGCAGCAGATTTCACGTTCATTTTGTCCATGCAGGAGCCCTTCCAAATTCCACATACCTTTAGTTACCTTGGAGTCATCATATGTTATGTTTGTCTCACTTCTCATAATCAGTAACCACATCTTGACCTATTCTGGCACAACTCCTCCCCTAGAGACAAGATATAGGTTTCATGCGTGAGATACCATTTTGTGGTTCCTAGACAATAGCATAGGGTCAATTCATGTCTCAACATAATACAAGCTTTGTTTCAGTACATCGAATAAGTCAGTGACCATTATTTTTATCTTTACTTTTTCAATAAGAGTGAGTTTTTGGATTCACGAATTCCACATGCTGCATGTTTTCACATTTTAGATCGAGAAATGTTAGCATTCATAAAGCCACACGGTTTTTTTAGTGCTTAAAGTCTCAGACTACTGAGACTGTGAGAGAAGGTAGGTGTTAATAAGCTTGGTTGACTAAAGTTGTTTCCATTTTGTAAAAGGTAGATTAGTGACATGTACATTTGTATGTGTTTCTTTAAGTAGCACAGAGTAAGAGGGTTGTGATACTTAGAACAAAACTTCAGAACACAATAGCAGAATGCTGCCTCCCTCTTATTCCTATCTACCAAAGATGCAACTATATATGCACCTCATGTCGTATTGTCATTATCAACCTAACTGTGAATTTAGTCTAGTTAAATTCATTTACACTGCTCTTCTCCTCTAGTGGTCTAAGTGGTCTAACAAATCTTATACCTTTATGATCGTTAACCTTTTGCGATGTATAACTTATGAGTCCATGAACTTTGCTTCAAATAAAGAGGTAAATGTCCTAGACACTGATCTAAATTTAATGCCCTGAAATATTTCATATACTCCCTCCGTCCCACAAAAGTTTTCTCACTATCCTTTTTAATCTATCCCGAAATAATTTTCTCACTTCAATTTCCATTTTTGGAAAAGCATGTGTGGTTCAAAATACTTTTGTATCTTCTGATCAAATTGTAACAACTCACTCCTTATTTTTCTGAAATATTTTCAACACTTTTTTTAATAAACTTGAAGTCAAATTTTGAAATCTTTGATGGGAGGATGGAGTGAGTATTATGTTGCGACATCGATCATCTAATGGAGCTCTTACTGTTATGCCAACAGCTGAATGCTTCTCACGCTTCCGGACTAATCTTACATCTTTTTAGTCTTCAGTCCGTGGGATGCGCCTCCTATTTGATCAAGTACATTTTTACGTGTAATACAACAATGAAAGCTGTTAGAGAACCACCCTAACCTGAAGAAATAGTAAATAATGAATTTTACCTAACCCCGCACTATCAACAACTTTGTTGAAAGCTTTTGAAATTATAGGATTTTTCCAATCCATTCGAGATTTCTTGGGATTTGTCTTTGTTTTGTGTTTGAGAGTATCAAGTTCTTTGCGCATTCCCTGACCTTAAATGAGAAGTAGTTGAAGCATGGAAAAAACCCACCGATTAAGGCATGCAAGAAATAAAGAAAAGTTAAATTGGAAAAAATAATTTACTCCGTACTTGTGAAATTGCAAGTGAAATTCACCTCAGCGAGACAATGGACTCAGCGAGACAATCGGTTTACAATACCTAGCTAAGGAATTACTAGCTTCATAATCTACAACGTATGAACTCCACAAGAGCTCTGCAGCTCTTAGTGGTTTGTTTGCTTCAATCTGTTACAACAATGAAATCAGACATCCAAAAATCTTAAACTGTTCAAGGATAAATATGGTAAAAATACCTGATTAGCCTCCATGTAGTGATGGAAGCCTGGAAGATGCGTAGAATCATCCTCTCCACCCGCCATTGCTGAAAGGGTTTAGATAACACAAAGAATGAAGACAGATTGCTTTCTGCTTTCTATTTTGTTTCTTTATTGTAAAACAGTATGAAAACAATAAATTACAGAAAAAGTCTAACTTTTATAGATAAAATACTAGTGATTCAAAGTAAAGGTAAATGCAAATCGTCTACGAAAATCGGCTATTGAAGAAAGAAAATTTCGATGAACAGATACCTGCTCTCAGGGATAGAAAATAATGGAGTAGGGTTATTTATATTAAAGGGTAAAAAATCCACAAGAATGACTCATTTCCTTAATTCCATAGCTTTTGTACTATTTTGAATATTTATAGCATTCTATTCACTTTTAAAAATCTCAATTGAATAGCACTAAAATTCGATTGACTTTTTTAATACCTAATTGAATACACCTAGATTTTTATGGTTTTTTAAAAGTCAATATTCAATACACCTAAACTTTTACATAGTAATCTTATTATAATTATCGTTGTTGTTGTTGTTGTTGTTATTATTGTTGTTGTTGTTGTTGTTGTTGTTGTTGTTATTATTATTATTATTATTATTATTATTAGAGAAAACATGAGACACACTCATTGCACCTGAAACGTCGGGCATAAATGTCACAACCAGGTTCCAATTCTAGGTTTAAAGGCCTCAAGCGCCAACCCGATGACAACCACATTGGACAAGCTCACAAGCTGCTGCCCCTCTTAATTTTCTTTCAGATACAAATACGGTTTTCCTTTCCTTGAAACTGGCCGTGTTTTACGCTTGGATGACAATCGTGTTGGGCCACTGTACAAACATGTTTTCCCACCGTCCCTCGCCCCGGGGCTTTCATTTGTTGGAATTCCATGGAAGGTATATAATACTTTTTCACCTATGAACATTTTCCCGTTGCTTCCATGTATAGCTAGCTCTTGACCATATTCTTCTGTTGTTTCAAGGTTGCTCCGTTCATCTTGTTTGAGTTGCAAAGCAAATGGATTGCCAAGGTCCTATCTGGTCGAGTTCGTCTTCCACCAGAGGAAGAAATGGTTGCTGAGATTGAAGCTTTCTACTTGAACATGGAGAAACGTGGTCTCCCAAAAAGACATACCCATCAACTTGGGGAACAACAGGTATTTTTTTTAAGAGCACTGAACTTATGACAAGCATTTAATTCACATTGCCATGAAATTTTTTAACTTGACATGACTTTCTTCTTCTTCTTCTTCTTCTTCTTCTTGTTCTTCTTATTCACTTGAGGTTGTGACAAACAATTTCTCATGGTCTACAGTTTGAGTACGATGACTGGTTGGCTGCGGAGTGTGATTATCCACCGATCGAAGAATGGAGAAAGGAAATGTACTATGTGACAAGCCAGAGAAGAAGCGAACAGCCTGAGACGTATCGCGACCTATGGGATGATGAACCCTTAATATCACAGGCACATGAACATTTCCTCAGATTCCTTCCAAAGACTCCCAGTAGCTAAAGTTTGAATGGAAAATGTACCGTTTTCACCCTCATCTGTGTCATATCACTCCAATTTCAGTCACTTCTGTAAAAAAAATAATAATAAAACCATATAGTATGTGCACTGCTTGCTGTTTGTATTAAAATGTTGTAATTTACGGAGTATTCAATAAATTTACAGGGCAAAACAGTCCACCTTTGTTTTTGGTCTAAGTAACTGGCATATAGCTCATGTTTCCATTTGTACTCTATGTAGCTCATGTTTCCAATTTCCAGGTCAGAAAATTCATGTATATTTTCACTTGAGATCATTTCACAAATTGTCCTTCAAAGTTATTGATATTTCAGATTTAGTTCATTATTTTATGAAATTTCTTTTGAGGCCTATCTATACTCTAATTTCATTTGTAAGTTCATTACTTCAAAATTGTTGACATTTCACAAATTGTTAACATTTTTCTATTTTAGTCCTCTATCATTAAACACACACCCGTTAAGATCTTGGAACATTGTCATTTTTTAGGTTTTTGTTAGTGTCATTTTGAGAACTGAAATTACATTTTAAAAAAACTGAAACTACATAATACTACCTCCGTTCCATTGTCTTTGTCCACTTTTGACTTTTGGAACTGTTCATCTAAGCACTTTGACTCATCAAATTCTCTCAATGTGTAAGCCTAAAAATAGTCATGTGTGATCTTATTTGGTTCGTCTTAACATATAGATTATTAATATATAATTTTTATAATTTTTTAATATACAAATTACAAGATAAAATGAATTAAAGAAGTGCATTGGATGGTGTGCCAAAAGGTAAGTGGACAAAGAGAGTGAGACGGAGGGAGGGAGTATGAAATATTCTTCTCAAACATAGAGGATTATTAGTGGAATTCAATCTTTTTTTTTTGTTTCATACAATAAAACTACAAAAACACTCAATTTGGGGTGAACCAAATTAACAAGAAATTGGCTATGGAGACTTTACATAAAAGTGTCTCACCCCTCCACCATGAATAAGAAATGAAAGAACAAGAAGATGAAGATGAAGATTCAAGAATTCATCACTGAGCTGAAGAGTGTTCAAGTTTAGATTTGATTCTTTGCAGAGTTCCTTCAATTGCAATATCAATGGCGTCCTTCTTGTTCCTCAGCCCCATCGAGCTTCCATGTTTTCTGTACATAACCCTCTCCATCATCTCTATCACCTTCTCCCGCATCCTCGACACCTCCCCTCTCGGCCGCCTGGCCAGCTCCTCCACCACGCTCCTCCCTTTGAACACCACCTCCTCCTTCGGGAGGAACACCGAGAACTCCTCGTACTTCTCCTCCGGCATGTGCCACCCGTACTGCCGCCTCGCCGTCATCTCGTCGAAGAACACCGGGATGCACCCCGCGATGATCCCGTCGAACGTCGACCGTCTCGTCGGCGTGTCCCCCGGCGGCTGCAGGCAGAACGCCGCCTCCAGCATCGGCCTCATGAACCGGATCGGGTCGTGCTCGCACGCCCCGTTGGAGCAATCCACGAATTCGCAGATCTTCTCGTACCCGGAATCCTTGAGGAGGAGGTCCGCGCTGTTGGTGGCGTTGTCGCACTCCAGCCGGATGCTCCGCCGGATGTTCGGATTCGCCGAGATTCCGCCGCCGCCGGCGAACAGCATCAGCGTGGTCCTCTTTGACCTTCTCACCCTGTTCTTCCAGGCCTCGTAGAAGGCCAGATTGGGAGGGTGGAAGGAGGTGGGGTAAGGAATCGCGATTTCCTGCCATGGGTAAGCTCTGGATTCCAGGGTTAAGGCGGTGAGATTGAAGAACTCCGGCAATTCAAGAAACGAGGTCCCGAAGATCGGCGGGTCGTTGGTCAACGGCTGGGTGAAATCCCAGGCGGGTCGGGCCATGACCAGAAAGTGGTCGTGACCCAGATTTCTGTTCCACACGGAGACGGAATCCTTGCGGGATATGAAGTCGTACAGATCGAGGCCGTGCCGGAAGCTGGAGTTGGTGTCGGGGCCGAAGAGGTAGCGGAGGGCGTCGATTCCGGCGTAGTAAGGGAGGTAGACGGCGGAGGCGCGGCGGGGATCGGGGGTGAGGCAGGGGTACTCGAGCATGCGGCGGTGGAAGACGAGCTCGAGCATGTAAGGGTCGGTGCGGTACCAGCTGTGGGAGGAGTTGTGGGTTTTCCGGCCGAGGCCGTGGTTGGGGAGGTAAGGGCAGAAGTCGTCGAAGAGTGGGTATTGTGAGCAGTTGGAGAGGAGGTCGAGGTTGAACCGCGGCGGAAGGCGGCGGATGTGGATCCATCGGCCCGTGCAGCCGGCTTCTTGATCGGGATCTTGAGAAACCGCCGCGGATGCCAGGATACATGGGGGTATGATGAGGAGGAGGAAGAAGAACAACCGGGCCGGCGACGGCGGCGGTGGCATGGTGGTGGAGGAGGGGGTGGTTATCCGGGAATGGCGGAGCAAAACCAGTCGTTATAATAACGGGGATTGTGGGACTGGGGAGTGATTAATTAAGTTTTCCGGAGTAATTAACTGTTTGTTTCCTGTTTCGTCTTTTATTATTTTTCTCGTCGGTTTGGAAAATTTTTTGGATTTAGTTCTAGGCTTATTTTTAAGTTTTAATGCACAACAAGATTAAAATCATGTTCTTTTAGTTCTGATATGATTGGAATAATAATTGATCTGGATGTGCACTATTTTCTCCGACGAACTGTTTTCTTGCTGCTATTAATGGGGAATTATTATGTTCTCCGGACCCTCTTATAGCGGAGGCTATGGCGTGTCGTGAAGCTCTATCATGGATCAAGACGCTTGATATTCATAACGTGGAGATCTTGATGGATTGTCAACGTGTGGTTTCAGCAATTTCAGACACTTCATTCTCTCTTACTTCTTATTTTGGTTCATTAATTGTTGAATGTAAGGCCTTGTTGGTCGGTTTTTGCTCTACTTCTATCAGTTTTGTTCATAGAGAGTTAAACGTTGTTGCTCATTCTCTTGCGAGGAGAGCAGAGGCCCGTCGTTCTGTTTGGGTTTCTACTCCCCCGAATTTTGTAATCCCTCTTTTACAATAATGAAGTTTCTTTACTTTCAAAAAAAAATAATTGATCTGGATGTTTTTATTATTAAAACTATTTCTAATACAGTCTGATTTGATTTGATTTAATCTAATTTTAATAAAAATAAGTAAAAGAATAAATTGAAGAAAATATGATCTGAATCTTTTGCAAAAAGCAAATTTGAACTTTAAAATTAAAAAAAGCACGACTCATAATTTGAGGGTGTTAACTTTTCTATGAAAAAGGTGTAACTTTGGCCTAATTTTGGCACTCATAATTTTTATTTTTTGCAATAAAGAATTACTCCGTATTTCATTAAATCAATAACAATACCATTAACAGAAAAAAGATAAGCTAGCGAAAAAATTAACAGAAGAAAAAAAGACAAATAAGAACCAAAAAATGAGATATTAATATTAGAGCAGAAAAGAGAATGAGAAATACAAATTAAAATAAAAGAAAACATAATAATAGCAGGAAATGGAAGAAGAAAAGGATAAATTCATGAAGGAGATTTATTTAGCAACCATTAAAAAATGACTTTTTTTGGGAAAAATGAAGAATATTATAATCTAATAATCCGTAAAAGTCTTACCATATTTTTTGCTTCAACTATTTGAGAGACAAACATTGAACAAGCGAGTTAACTCTAGATTTGATTCAATCTGAGTAGTGTAATATATAGTGAGACAACCATTTAACAAACGAGTAAATTCTAGACTTGATTCAAATTGAATGGTGTAATATATAGTGAGACAAACATTGAATAAACAAGTTGACTCTAGACTTGATTCAATTTGAGTAATGTAAAAATATAGTAAAATTGAAAACTTTTATGTAAAATTCTTATCTCATATTCAACTTCAACTTTCTTAGACACACATATTGAACAACTTCACTAGCAAGTTAATTCTAGATTGATTTAAATATCAATTCTATTAGAGTGATGTTATAGTGAAGCTAAAAACTTTTAAAGTAAAATCCTTACATTATCTTCAACTTTCTCAGAAGTCATTGTGATGAAGTCATTGTGGACATATTTAAATATAGATTTAAATGGAGTGATGTGATACTAATAATAAATGTCTTTTATGGTTTTCGAAGACTCCCTTTATCTCTAAATAACTTTTTTCATTCTGATTTTACACAGAGTTTAAAAGATATAAAATTGTATAATTAAAATCTATGCAGAGAAAAGAATAAATGTGACAACTAATTAGGTCTCTCTTCTCAGGGTTTGACTTATTTGTATCAGATGTTTTATTGATGGGTTTAAGGTATTTGATTGAAAATCATGGTATATACAATGAAAGCATCCATTATTTTTTTTTATAAAAATAGACATTACTTTTTGTACTGCTTATGAATTAATCCAGCAAAAAAACTTAATCTTTTGGTTATAGGCTCAGAACAAGATTTATATTCTAACACGCTCTGATGTGCAAGATTTAGTGTTTGTTTTTGTCTACAGAACAAGCAAATGGGAGTGGCCCAATTTTAGACAAGTAACTAAAGAGTGGGCCAAGTGCATACATTTCACGGCGTAGTAGCTAAGTAAGAGTAGCCCAAATGCACGATTCCAGTCCAACTGTACCTGCGGTTTGAGTCACAGATGCGATCCGTTTATTGATTTTTTAGGGTCACTAATGTAAAAAATTAGATCATTAGTATTAATATTTTTACATAGAATATTTGATAAAACTTTAATATTTTAAAACTATATTTCGAAAGAAACTATAAATATTAGATTTAAATCAAAAAATAATGTATCTTTTTTCCCATACCGTGATCAAATTTTACAAACTTTGATAAAAAAGAGTCAAAATAGAAGATTAAATTTAGATGGGGGAGTACTGTATAATGTTTTCACAAAATTAATTTTCTACTCATTAAATAATAGATACAACCAAACAAAAAAATAAAATGAAACAGATAACTGAACTTTGAGAAAATTTCACACGAATATTTGGAGCTGTACAAGTTACTTTCATATCATTTTAGATGCAATCATAATTTTATATGTTTCTAATATTTAATTTTGACCTCACTATTTTTCTTTTTTTTTCTCTCATATTCTCTCCCTTTTCTTCTTCAAGTGCCCCACTTCTACCTTTTTTGAAAAAGAAATGAGGGGGGTTAAAATTAAAATTTAGAAATATATAAAAATGTAATAAAGCTCAAAGTTATCTGATAGTAATATTGAAACTAACCTCATGCACTTTTGTAAAAAAATTCAAAGATTAAATATTTTTTTGAAAGAAAGTAAAGCTTTGGTAACAAAATGATATATTGCTCAAAGTTAGGGTATACATGGCAATTTTTTTTAAAAAAAATAAATTACTCCGTGTAAGTTGAACAAATTGTTCACACGTGATGGGTGTTGCACAGTTGATAAAGATAAGAAATGTCAAGGGGTAGATCCGAATTCGTTTTCTAACATCTGTGCTAAGAAACAATTATGTTAAACATATAGTCTCTGCAAGTACCAAATACGGACTCCATTGTTTAACACTATTCTGCATACATCATCTTAATGATCGTTCGGCTGGGTCTGAAAAGACCCTCGGGCATGGGATTTATCTTTTTTTTTAAAAAAAATAAATTGTTCACCTAGTAGGCTAGAATATTTGAAGCAATGTGGGTTGGTGTACTGTTCACCTAGCCCGGCCCAGTTTTGAAATTGACGGTCTTGGCATCCAGCTGTTGCATAACCTTTTAAGCAATGTGGCATCCAGCAAAGCATCCACGTGGCAGTTACTCATTCGTCGATTGGAAACCAAAGCAAGCGTCCTTGTCAGCGAAGACCCGCCGCGTTGTGTCCAGTCAGCGCCGCGACAAAGTCTTGTACATTTAGTCAACATCCTAACTGTCGCCACGTCGGATACCTAAACGCCGCCGTTTCTTCGATTGTTTCTACTACAACACCAAGATACATGTACATGTTGGCAACGTGCATGTTTGTTAACTTGTTTGAGTGTCCCTTTTCTACATTTTTGTTTTTCTTTTTTAAATAAGCTCAAATTTCTAATCAAATTTTCTTCTTTCACGAGAAAATTTTTTGGTTTATACAAAGTCATTTTTTATGCATAGATTTCAATAACATAATTTAAATTTTTAAAAATTCATGTAAAATACAACAGGGAATATCTAAGTTACACCGAGCCAGAGACATAGATTCATGCGAGGACGGAGTCAGAAGCATAAAACACTAAATGTTTTTATAATTCATAAAAGATTTGGTGTGGGGACGCTCCCAAGTACCCGATCATCGTTGTTTCAGGGACCGAAAGTGACACCTACATAAAGAATTCTAACAATATAGGAGAAAATTATATAGTGTGAGGAGTGGATATGGCCAGTGACAAAGACTTCTTAATCCATAATGCTACATTCCTACACAATCAAGTTTCAACACCATAATAATTACCAATCCCAAAGTAGTGAAGGTAGTGTGGTCTACTGTTTGATCGAAATGTTGCACTTACAAGTAGGCGAACTAATAGAGTAGTTATTATGAATTATAAAGACAATAGAAAAATAAATTATTGTGGAGTATCTCTAATATGAGACCGACCATCTAGTTCGGTATAGTACGGGTTTTTTTTTTATATTTTACCAATTTGGAATTTTTTGGTTTAAAAATCACTATCTTTTCAGGATAATTGTCTCCCTATTTCTAGTGACTATCTTCACAAACCCCTTCTGTTGACTTCATTCCAGACATGTGCTCCAAGTTGCTTCTAGCTATGGATGATCAACTTGCGAGATATACTAGGAATAAAAGCACGAACAATGGTGAGGCAATAATGGAATGTCACACGCTAACGTGTTACATCTCAACCAATCAAAAATAGTCTAGTCAGCAAGTGACACTTGAATGGAGTGGCAAACTCTGCAGTGACAAGTCATTATTTTTACTATTTTTACATTTTTTATGTGTTTAAATTATAAAAAAAATATTTTTTATTTTATCAAAAAAAATTAAAAATACTTTTTCTTCTTTACGAAAAAAATGTTTTTTTCTTAAAAAGAAAAAAATTAAAAAAAAAAGATGAAGAGAAGCATGGAGACATGGAGTGCCTCGCTCATGCCCCTCAAAACTGTGGAAGAATTGCCCAGCCACACGAGGCAAATTGAGGGAGGTGCTGAGTTGACAAGCGTGGCATGGGTTTTCCACGCCCATTGCTGATGCTCTAATAGAGGTAATTGAAAATACGGATTTGATAAATTGTACTCCGAAAGTGATTTGATAGTCCGAAAGTTTATACTCCCTCCGTCCCAAAAAGTCCTTCATGTTTACTACTACGGTCTCTCGATAATTCTTTTTTGTTTGCGTGTTTTCATTGATCATTTGATAAAATAAAATATTCTTGTCACCTCTTATTTTGTAGAGTTTTCGATGTAGTTTTTAAATATAATTTTTCCATGTGTTATTTCCTTACCAATTTGCAAATAAAATCATTTTAAAATGCACGGGATTTTGCACGTTAATCAAAGTAGGAAATTCTTTTTGGGACGGAGGGAGTATTTAATATGCGGACTTAATCACATTATTTTAATTTGGTATATTCGAAACTTTGAAAAGGTCAATCAAAGGGCCTATTTGGGAATAACAATAGAGATTAGCGTTAGCGTTTTGGATAAAATTTTAACGGTGCAAATTATTTTGAAAACACTACTCTAAACGCTGCCCGTAGATAGCCTTCTCAAAACGCTAACGCTATTCCCAAACAGGCCCAAAATCATTACAAACGGTTAAAATACTCCGTAATAAATAAGGTCCACAAAATCGATGTGGCCTAATTAAACCTCGTAATAATAGTAATGCGGAATAATAATAATAATAATAATAATAATAATAATAATATTATTATTATTATTATTATTATTATTTAAGGAGAGAGATGGCTACTCTTCTTGCTCTTGCAATTCCTTAATTTGATGTCTCACATAATCTATCATGTTCATATTAAATTGAAGGTTAAATATGTAATTTCACATAAACTTTTAATGAGACATGCCATATCCACTTTTAAAGGTCACTACTAAGGTATCGTATGCCCGTAGGTTGAGAGAGACATCAACCTACTACATATTGATATCTCCTAAATTCTGGAGATATCGAAACCCTACATTTAAAAGATTTTTGATATCTCTCGATATCAAATTCAATATCTCTTAAGAAATCTCAATGGATAAAATTAAAAAAGTATAAAAATACCAAAATAAGAGTCTCATGTCTTTTAAAACAAAAATGGGGGCGGAGTATAACGACAGTGTGGTGTAAGAGTACACATTGACAGTGTGATGAAAAAGGATGACAGTGTAATATGATGTCAGTGTGATCAGCTAACCGTAAGCGATTCGCGACGGCACTCTAGTGGCCGGTGGTAACAAATGACAGTGTGACGGTGATAGTGTGGTAGTTACAATGTGACAATGTGGTGAGTTTGACAGTATACTAATGTCATCTTTAAAAACTTATGACTCATATTTTAATATTTTATAGTTTTTGACTTATTTATCTGGAGTTCTCCCATATCTCTTTTAACTTAATCAAACACCAACAAATAGATTCTGATATCTGGATATATCAAAACTCATATTTTTTTTGCTCATCAAACACACCCTCAATATGCCTTTTATTATCATCACGGGCTTGACAAATTAGGCTTTTTAGTAATTTGTAAATTGTTTTAAATAATTGGTTTTCCAAACACTAAAAAATCAAAATGCTAACCACTAACACTAATCATGCAAACAGGTACTCTCCCCATCACAATTTAAGATGTCAGTTCACCATTCAAAATTCTAAACTTTATTCACTTTCGTTACCCATTTTCAGTATTTATTTGATAAATTAATACAATCATGTCATGTCGTATTTTATAAAAATTTTGATGTAATTTTTAAATATATATTTTTTATTTTTAAATTCCATGCCAATTTTCATATAAAAGTAAAAGAAATTTCCCTAAATAGGTGTAAAAACGTATGAAAATATAAAATAGGAATCTTAAGTCTTTTACGACCAAAATAGAATTATAATGAAAGTGTTGCGTAAGAGTACGTGTTGGCAATGTGATAAAAAACTGGTGACAGCGTAATATATCAGTGTGATCAGTCAACCGTCAGTGATTTGCGATGGCACTCTCGTGGCCCGCGGGCCGCAGCGATGGATGATAATGCGTCGATGATAGTGTTACAGATATAATGTGACAATGTAGTGAGTGTGACATTGTACAATGACAGTGTAAACTCATATTCTAGTTTTAAAAGTTTTAAGACTCTTATTTTGATATTTTCATAGTCTTTTCATTCTATCTCGAGAGTTCTGTCTAAAATTAATTAAAAAATTATTTCAGTCAAAATTGTAAATTGAAACGAGTAATTTAAATTAGAACCGAGAGAGTATATTCTAACTCTAAACTATAACACTCTTGCTGAATATGCCATTAAAGAACGATGATATTGTTTGAAAATGTAAAAAATTATTCCTAATTAGCCTCACTTGTTTTTAATAATAATTCTTAGGTCCCACTTTATTTGAAATATATGATTGAATATGTTTAATTTTCAGGAAAAAATTCTTATGTGTCACATTATTCTTATAATATTTTGAGATCTTTAAAATTTCCCAAAATATATTAAGAGTGATTATGGTCATAAACCTTAATCATATAAAACTATTTTAATATCCATCCGTCCCAATTTTTATTACAATTTTCTTTTGTCTCTTATTCTGATAAATTCTGTTTATTAGTGTGTTTTTATTGATTATTTGATAAAATAAAATTCTATTGTCACCTCTTATTTTATAGAATCTTTGAAATTATTTTTAATATATAGTTTTTATTTTTTATTGATTTATAAATTTATAAATACAATAATTTTAAAAATCATTAAATTTTATCTGGTAAGTCCTAATTTATAACCAATGGAGGGAGTAATAATGGTAAACCGTCATAGATTGCGCAAACTTCGAACGTTTAACTTTTAATTGCAAATTGGGGCCCGCGTACACGGTTTTGAAATTGCGATTCACGGCGTCCATTGGATTCGCGGTGATCTACGTCAGATTTGCGTGTTTTAATCAATGACATACGCCGTGCCACGTGTTGCCTTGTCACCATTTACGACCGTAACTTCCTTCTAAACATGTAATGCCCTATTTATATATTTTTGGCGTCACTCTCTTTTTTATTGCATGGATTCTATTTTTGGTAATGCCATAAATATTTTTCTACGCCGTATTTCTTTGTTAAGTAATGTCATTGATTCTAATTTCTAATTCACCCTCCTCCTTAAATAAATAAATATAATCTCATTTTATATCTTGTCACTTATTATAAATGTTTTTTACATTAAGAGCACTGGTAATACGTTTGAAGCCCCGGGGCTTCAAACTTTCTCTCTCTGCCACGTCAGCTTTAACTTACACCCAAAATTCACTGGAAATGGGTTTGAAGCCCCGGGGCTTCAAACTGGGGCTTCAAACCTTCATTTTTTACATTTTTAAATATATATCTTCTAAAATTAAATTAATAAAATGTAATTAATTTATTATCTAATTAAATTGAAACACGAATAATAAAAAAACACATTAATTAAAAAAACGACAATAATTTAAAAAAAAAAGATACATTAATAAAAAAACTAAGGTAAATTATATTTCTCCTTGATCTCTCTCATTCTTTGCTCGTAGATAATTCGTCCAAACTCCGACAACGTCCCGGGGTCGGTTTGCATGACTTTCATCTCGGCCTCCTGCTCCTTTAGCTTCAACTCCTTCTCTTTAAGCTTCAACCTCTCTTGTTCTTGGAGATTGAACGCCCGAAGTTGTTCAACCATTGCCCGGCCAATTTCGTCGCGGGAAGAAGCGGAAACAGAGGCGGACCCTCCCGAACCAGAGGCAATGGATTTTGCCTTCTTTCTTCCGATCGGTCGTGGAATGGGGTCCTCGTCATCGGAATCCACAACGTTGAAGGGATGGATTTGATCGGTAGAACCGATAGTCTCGTCGACCTCAACCTCGGCGGCGACGGTGGATCTTTTCCGCAATGATCCGCCGTCAGGATTGTTGAGTTGTTGCCACTTCAGGGAACGACTCAAAATCTTCCAAAGATCGATGGGCACCTTGCCTTGGTTCCCGTCGTCTTGATACCGGGCCGTGGCAAGCCGGAGAATATCGGCGTCGTTCGTGCCGCTCCTCCGGGACCGGGAGCATTCCTCGTATACTCCATAAACTTTCGTACTTTTTTGTTGATGTGGCTCCATTTGGAAATGAGTTGGTCCCGGGTTCGGTAGGAGCCGTCCTTCTTCATCGCCGTGAAGAACTTCTCCTCGATACGATCCAACATCGCATCCTTCGTTTGCTCCGTACCTTTAAAAATATATTACACAATTTGTTTAGACACCATTAAATATAATATATATAAATAAAAACATAAATATATTAGAAAAAATAAATTTTTTACCAATGATAGGATGCTCGGAGACGTCAACCCAAGCCGACGCCAATATGCACTCCTCCTCCGGCGTCCACTTTTGGATTGACCATGCTGCCTCGGTCAACGTGCTTTTGGCTTTGTGGCTCCTCCGGCGTGTACTTTTTTCGATCCGGACGGTTCCGGTTGAGTCTCCGGAACCGAATCTCGGTCGACGTACCCCGATTGTTGCGTCTCGTATATCGGCGGTCGATCGCCCCACTCTTGGTAGAACCACATCGCGGCGTCACTCAGCGGGAGATCGTCGGGAACGAAGCCGGAGCCGGAAGGATTCATGTTGAATAGAAAGAGGGTAATTTCGAATTTCGAATTTTAAAATGGGAAGAAGAAGAGATTGAGAAGAGAAAGTGTGAGAGATTGGGAGGGGGGGTTTGAATATATAAGAATTTTTTTTTTAAAAAAAATGGGATAAACAGCTATAAAGCCGTTGGGAAGGGGAGGGGTAACGAATGACGCCGCGTCATTCGTTTGACGCAAGGGCGATCACGCTCGATCACGCCCGGAGGGGGGCGGTGTTTCACGCCGGTGGGGCGTTAAACGCCCCCTCACGCCGTGGGGCGTTGCTAGTATTACCAGTGCTCTAACATTTACACCATCCGTCTCAATATTGATTACAATTCTATTTTTTATATCCTCTCGATAATTTTTATTTATTTGTGTATTTCATTGATTATTTGATAAAATAAAATACTCTTGTCACCTCTTATTTTGTAGAACAGTTGACCTAGTTCTTTAATATGTAATTTTTATTTTTTATCAATGTACCATTTTGTAAATAAAATAATTTCAAAAGTCATGAAATTTTATTTCATAATTCCCAACTTGAGCTTAGAGCCTGTTCTTTAGGGCTTGAACTATTAACTTCCAGTTTCTTCCAGTTCCTTCTAGTTTCTTTCATTTTTTTCTAGTTTCTTCCAGTTTCTTCTAACTTTTCTCATTTTATTTAAATTCTTTCTACTTCTCAACCAATTACTCTAAAAATGATATATTTCAATGTGATTATTATTATTATTATTATTATTATTATTATTACAACTGTTATATTCATAACTTTAGTTTACAAGTTATTTTTTTCATCTCAATATTTTTACGATTCACACTTATTATTACTCCGTATTTTTTTCAACTTTTTAATATGAAGAATACAGTTTTTTGTATATTAGTCTACATGATAAAACAGGAAAACATCAATATATTAAATTATACTCCGTACTAAAAAATTATGGATAAAATAGTTACATTGAATGTTTTATTAATATAACTATTTATAAGACATCTCAGTTTCTCCCTTTATTACTTAAAAATTACTCATTTTTCTAATTTTTATAAAAAAAATTGTAAGTCAAAAGAGCTTAGAGAAAAAGACTAAAATATGAGTAAAACATAAAAAGTATAAACAAAAAAGTTCTATGTCTTTATTCCAAAAATAGGAATTCAATGAAAATAAAATGTCAATTATGAAAGAAACAATAGGTTTGATTATGTGACATGTATGATATTTAAAACAAAATGTTTTAATATAAAAATTATAATTACAAATATATTATTTATAATAAATACTGCATAAATAAATTGAGGTGGAATATAACTACACAGCCTTTTTAAAATTTAATATTTTATATTTATGCTAACTTTATATTATAATTATTTTTTGTAAAAGTAGTTTTTTGTATTTAAAAAATAACAATATTTTTTTTATATCTTAAAGACATTCACTAAGATAACGTGATGATGATGATGATGATGATGATGATAATAATAATAATAATAATAATAATAATAATAATAATAATAATAATAATAATTTATAACAACAAGAATTTAAAATAAATATTTTTAAAGTTTTTTTAGGTTTTCCAGTTTTTTCCAGTTTGTCTCCAGTTTCTTGCCGTTCCTTCTAGTTTTTTCCAGTTTCTTCCATTTCCTTCAATTTTTTTCCCGTTCCTTTCAGTTCCTTCCAGTTTTTTTCCAGTTTCTTCTAGTTCCTTCCAGTTTTTTCCAGTTTTTTTCAACATCCAGCTCTTTTTTTACAGTCCTAAAGAACAAGCCCTTAGAGCATGTTCTTTAGGACTTGAACTCTTAACTTCCAGTTTCTTCTAGTTCCTTCCAATTTTTTTTCAGTTTCTTCCAGTTCCTTCCAGTTTCTTGCAGTTCTTCCAGTTTCTTCCAGTTTCTTCCAGTTTCTTCTAGTTTCTTCCAGTTCCTTCCCGTTTCTTCAAACTTTTCTCATTTTCTTCAAATTCTTTCTACTCCTCAACCAATTACTCTAAAAATGATATATTTCAATGTGATTATTATTATTATTATTATTATTATTGTTATTATTATTATTATTACAACTGTTATATTCATAACTATAGTTTATAAAAATTTTTTCATCTCACTATTTTTACGATTTACACTTATTATTTTTTTTCTTCAACTTTTTAATATGATCAAGACATTTTTTTGTATATTAGTTTACATGATAAAATAGGAAAACATCAAAATGTTAAATTATACTAAAAAATTATGGATAAAATAGTTACATTGAATGTTTTATTAATATAACTTTTTTATAAGACATCTCAGTTTCCCTTTAGTACTTAAAAATATCTCATTTTTCTAATTTTTAAAACAAAAATTTGTAAGTTAAAAGAGCTTAGAGAAAAAGACTAAAATATGAGTAAAACATAAAAAATGTAAACAAAAAAGTTCTATATCTTTATTCCAAAAATAGGAATTCAATGAAAATAAAATGTCAATCATGAAAGAAACGATAGGTTTGATTATGTGACATGTATGATATTTAAAACAAAATGTTTTAATATATAAATTATAATTACAAATATATTATTTATAATAAATACTGCATAAATAAATTGAGGTGGAATATAACTACACAGCCTTTTTAAAATTTAATATTTTTATATTTATGCTAACTTTATATTATAATTATTTTTTGTAAAAGTAGTTTTTTGTATTTAAAAAATAATACTACGTAATACTTTTTTTTTATATCTTAAAGACATTCACTAAGATGATGATGATGATGATGATGATGATGATGATGATGATGATGATGATGATGATGATGATGATGATGATGATGATGATGATGATGATAATAATAATAATAATAATAATAATTTATAACAACAAGAATTTAAAATAAATATTTTTAAAATTTTTTTTAGGTTTTCCAATTTTTTCCAGTTCCTTCCAATTTTTTCCAGTTTCTTCTAATTTTTTCCAGTTTCTTCCAGTTTTTTCCAGTTTCTTCCAGTCCTTCCAGTTTTTTCCAGTTTTTTCCAACATCCATCTCTTTTTTACAGTCCTAAAGAACAGGCCCTCAATAATGGAAGTAGTTCATGTGGGATGGGGTTGGTAATATTGACGGTTTGAAAAAGAAAAAGAAGAAAAAAATCGCCCACGGGTTTCATAGCAATTTCCAAATTTGGTGCAAATTGTACCAAACACTTCCCTTACTCATTAAGAAATTTGCAGTAATATTCGTACTCCCCACATTTCTGGTAAAACAAGGCGGCTTGTTTTTAAATTTTTTAAAAATTTATTTTCTTATCTCAAAATTCTTTTTTCATGTTTTTAATAATTATCTTTATCTCTTGTAATTCTTAATTACCTACCTATCATACTATATTTTTTTACTAATAATTTACCATCACAATTCACATTTTACTTTATCCATTACATTAAATGTAATTTAGAAAAATCATTACAAAATACAGTATCCCTTTTTCTTAAATCAATTAAAGTCAAAATGATAATGACTTTTAAGGACAAAGGGAGTATTTTGTTGTACTCTTTAACACACATTTAAATATGAACTAATTAACACACATTATAATACTAACTCTTTTCTTGAGTATTTGCACAATTTTGACTTTTTAGTTAAAAATTGATAAATTTTGATTACTAATTAAATAAAATTGATACTCCATATGTCTTATTTTAAGTTGCTTATTGTTGTTTACAATATTTGACTAAACTTATTTTTAAATAAATCTATATGAAAATTGGGGTTGTATTTAAAAATATGATTTATATATTTAAAAACTACATAAAAAGTTATACAAGACAAAAGTTGACATGTCTATATTAATTTATTAAGTGAATAGCGAAATGGTCAAAGAAAGTGATTAAAGTTCGATGCACAGAATAATAAACAAACAATTTAAATTTGGCTGGAGAGAATATCAAATATTGATACAAAAATAATTGTATTAGATCTATATATTTTTACAAAATATTTTCAAAATTTTGTTTTTAATTTATTTTTTAGTTTATTTCATATTAGGGTATTGCAGATAAACCACAATTTTATAGCACATCCATTTTTAATTTACACTACAAAAGTTTTTCAGTTCAATTTATTTTTTATTTAATCTTACAATCTTAACATCTTGACCGCAAACGCGAGGCTCGAATATTAGATATGAAAAAATATGGAGGGACTTCCTTCTACTCCCACTTTTTTAAAATGTTATTTGTGCAAAAAAAATTAATTTAGTTAAATAAATATAAGTTGTAACTTTGGAAAAAAAAGTGAGAAAATCTATTAATCATCTACTTCAATAATTTTCTTTTTTTCTCCGTATCTTTTTAAGATATTTTGAAACCTTTGACGCTTCCTCCTAAAAAGGAGTAAAACGAGTATAAGATTAAGTTTTTTCCTTTTTTAAAAATAAAGTTCAATGATATATTATCTCAAAGATATTAGTCGGTAGTTAAAAAATAAGAGGAACACGTGACAATAAAAAACACCTAAAAAGTTAAGCTTAATTCTACAATATAAAAAAAGCATCTTAAAATTAACGTTAATTAAAAATGTTATTCTTAAA